CGCGTGAACCGCGTGAACCAACAGAACCACGAGAACCAGAGAACTACACAATTACCGTGCCCAAGAGTTATATTATCTGAAGTCCGACAGTATAAGAACCACAAGAACCAGAGAACTACCGAGAACTACACAGTTACCGTGACTCAGAGTTGTATCTATTTGAAGTTTGATAGTATGCGACTCATGACGTCAGCTGTGGCTATTACACCGGGGATCACCCCATTCTGTGTAGATATATTAATCTATTAAAAACTTATTCACCATGGTTACCAGTCGCTGAGGAGGAAAGAAGCCATGTACCACTATCTCAGTCTGTCTGCAGTACAATGTATCTATGGGTAGTTTGACGTTTGTAATAGAAGATTAAAGCGATTAAGATTCTCTCCAGTTGCACGTTGGCTTGGTTTATTTTGGAATTATCACTGAACATGATTTAAATAATAGTACACATTGTTCCGGGCTCTATAACGAAGCTTTATAATATTATAATAATAATTTAATTCTTATATTGCTTTATCACTTTATAGAGCCCAGAAAAAAATGCTCTATATTGCTTTATGACATAGGTAGTTACGTGCGAGCTCTCTAACCTGATAAAGCATCCGCTTGGAAACTGAATGGACTGATCAGACGATCCATACTATGTACATTATGTCATAATTGGTAATTAACAGTTTTCTGAGTAATTATACAAAGCAGTACTTCGTCTCTTTTGACGCAAAGATTGAGGTTAGATTGAAATTACATCTAAGGTCCCATATGCAGTTATTTCACGACTAAAAAACACTCATCTAAGGTCTGAGAAACTTGAATGGCTTAAGTTAATCAATGGTGCTCTTCTCTAATATTTATTGTATGAACCCAGGAACTGTTAATTGCATTTTTCTTAATTCACACATTCAATTATAGGATTATTTGCATTTGGCGCAGAATTCTATTGTGATAACTTATGCCCTTTGTTTACCTTCAAGTGGTTCAATATTCACTTCCCTGAGTTTCGTTATGACTTCTTGAAACTCGTCTCTGATAAAGCACTATTTCAAAATACTAGAACAAAGTTTCTTTTAAGTATCTCTCTAAGTTAAATTTTGATCGAAATCTACGTGAGCTTTTTTGAGTGGTTACCCAAATCATTGGAACATTGGATGTAATACGCAATCACTCAGTGGTAAGAATCTTTTGCATATTATCAAACGTAAAACTCCTTAAACTCGTCCATGAGTGAAAGATTTACCATGAAGCTTAAAGGAATTTCCAGAAAACGCGAACGTCGCCAGTTACATGATGATTCAAGTGCGATGTTTGACAAAATCACTTACTTTGCATTTATGTAACGAGGAATTGGGAAAACAATAACCGCAACAGCCACGATTTTCAGCTCGCACTTGGAGGATCTTATCAGTTTTCAGGCGTAACCGTAACTTTGTTATAGGAACAACTAGTTCAGATATCCGGCGGAAAAAAAAATTAAACTCAAGTCAAATGTTTGGCAAAGACGGAGATATGTTCAGAGAGTACACAAATCGACTGCATTCAGTAACGACCATTGTGAATATAAGGGCACAAGAGCACTTCACTTACATTTACGAAGTGGTAAATACACTTCGGTAGATTCTTACAGCGTCTCAATAGTTATTACCTTTATTTATCAGTGCCGATTTATTAGGAAATGGCGTTAAAAAAGATTTCCCAAGGTAGCAAGTTGTATCACGCAATCCATACATAAAGTCTATTGAGGATAAATGTGCTCTCTTTCGTTTGTTTGATTTCAGATCAATTTGCGCCTCTGAGGCTTTTATATCTTTAGAAAAAGCAGGTAATATTATGATTCTTACAAAATTCTTAATGTCGATTTGGTTGGTATAGCATATAAAATATTAGTAATTCCAGAGAAGCATCTGCATAAAGTACAGACGCAGTAATTTATACAGTTTGATTTTAAATTGAAACTAGGTCTGCATTTCAGAATTCAAATTGAAAAAGCTAGAAAATCGTATTCAAAAACCATTCTTCCTCACAGCTGTCACCTCACAGCACGTGGGAACGCTGAAAAATACTGCGTTGAAAAGAATTTTAGTTTTGACACGAGGAGAAAAATAAATATTAAAAATGACAATGTTTTAGTGAGTTTTATGACCAGAACAGTTGACATGGCTACGAAAGAAATTGTATGTCTCAAAATCAAAGCCTCGATATTCTTGGTAAGGAAAGAAGGTAGAAGTAATCGGAAAAAAAACATAACAGAAGCAAGGTTTCCCGCTTGAAACCGCTATACACATTCTTCGAGAGTTGAGATCGATTTGCAAAATTTCTCGACTTAAAAGGATTTCAGTACGTGGCAAGTACATTCTGAAACAAATGACATACCGTGTCACCTAAGATAAACTTGTAAGTTTGAGTCCTGGATCTAAACACACCGGAGATTTCAGGAGCGTACAAATGATTTTAAAGGAAACATGACCATGTCTGAGTGACGGTGGCCGCTAGACTAATTTAGTTTCGCGCGGTCTATTTCGCCAATTTCCTCTCGACTCGTAGATCACAAAATAATCAACACAACAACTTACCACCGAGTTGAAATATCTCAAAAAAAATCCTCAGTTCTTCTGAATGCTGGCCAGGTTTTCGAAAGTGTTTCTTGTTTTTGACAGTACGCGGGTTGCGAAACAAAACGTTGCCAACTTTCGTACCGTCGGCTTTATGCATCAATTTTAAGAACGCCATTACCATAAATAGCCGATGAGAGATGTCTAGTGGTTGTCATATTGTCTCTTCTTTCGAAAACAAAACACGTCAAATACCTTTTAAAAGCTTTTCACGAACGAAGAGCCAATGGAAACACGTGAATATATTTTACTTCATATGGTAATGAAAACATTTTAAACAAAGAATTGTTTAGCGGAAGGCGCTTCTGCTGAATTCTAACACATGGGAATAAACAATACTGTACATTTTTGAAAACAAAGAAATTTTGTAAAAATTACGCAGGATTTTTTTTTCTTTTTTTCATCTTGAAAGCTCTTGATCGTTATCCAAAACCAATCAAACCGAAAACAACACGTTAACTAAAAATTTTAATTCCAAATTTTAAATATTGTCAATTCCGTCGTGAAGAAGACATTTCGTCCGGAAGCAACCGGATTGCATTAACCGCTTCAAGTTATCTTTCCAGAGTCACGATTTGAATCAAATTGTTCGTTTTTCTTTCAATTCTTTTTATCTCTTGGCGGAATTGGACGCTGAAGCGTCAGATGGCACCTTTGTAAGAAACATTGACTCATACTATCAAACAAAAGTATTCTTCGAGTTTATTTTGTTCGCCTCTCGAAGACAGGGAAAAAAATCACTAAATGAGTCTAGGAGACGCTAAAAGACTCAACAATTAAAGATGTTTTTGTATTAAGTACGAGTCCGGTAATATTCGAATTGAGGTAAACAAGCATTTTATGCGATGAAAAAAGCTGGAGAAATTAAAAGGGATAACTGAGTGACAAATGTAAAACTGTAGTTTCAAGTTTAGATCGTCTGTAAGGAAGACAAAATTTCAAGTAAACTCACCGAATGTTACGGCTTGTGCCAGAACTGGGTCCAAAACTGTTCGAGTAGTCAGTGGGTTGTAAAGAAAGGAAAGGAAATTGGCGTTCCCATGCAGAAGTACATACCCGGGAAATGTGTGACCACGCAATTGCGTCATCAAAAAATATATTGTACTACTTGTTGACGGCGGCAGTTGATGTTCAAGTGTTTGTTTCCTGTAAACAAAGACTGTAAAAAGGTTGACAAGGATGATTGAAGAATCTAAATTTGTAGAATTGACAACTTCTCTCATTAAAATTTGAGTCATAAAGAGGAAACTAAAGAACGATTGGTTCGAATCCCGTACAGGCCTGATTTTTTTCAGGTCTGATTTTCGCTATTGCATAAATAGCGCTATCTACTGCGAAAGATCGTGCGTCATACGTAAGGTAGTTTCTCACGAAGGGCTAACGCTCGAAACGTCAGCTTTTGTAATCGTTACGGTGGCCAATTTACCATTTCAACTTTGTTGATATATCCAACTTATTAACAAGGATATCTGTAGTAGCTAGAGAGAAGAACTTTGACAATCACAGATCAAGAATTCAAGGGTTCAAAGACGAACAGTAAGCAGCATGGCAGATGAACACGCCATGAAATCGAATTGATCAGCCAGTGCGAAAAAGGATTGCCGGATGTACTTGTGTAAATGCTTATGAAGATTTTGAACGGAACATGTACTGATAAGTAGCACGGGTGAATTGAGAACGACAGCAATCCAAAATACCTCACAAATAATCAATACTTCAGACCTATTCTTAACTCCAGCCCTCTAAACAGAGCAACACGAACTCTTGCTTTGATTTTAAATTTTCCTAATAATGTTGATAAACGAAATTAAGAAAATCGTCAAGTATACATTCTAAATTAGAGTCATTAGTTTCAGATTTAAATAATTAAATACAGAATATTGATTACTCTCCTTTCATGACACACGTTGTGCAGTAAATGTTTGTGACATAAACACAAAAAAATATCTTATCTTCATTCAAAATCAGTTGAGAGCTTTCATACAAAAATATTTCAAGAAAATCAATTTTCCATCATCGACTGTTCACTTCTTGACTGCAACGTGTGATTCAAACTGTCAAATTCGAACCATGATAACCCACGTCTCATAACAGGTTTTCATTTACAAAACACGACAGAAGCCTTCAAACTAACATTCATGAGAAGACACACAGGGCTTGCACTGTAAGTATCTCGGAGAGCTCCATACAATTCCTTATATTAAAATTATGAGGAATTGTATGGAGCTTTTTAGCATTAGTCGAGGCACGGCGGGTGTTGTCATGTATGATCCACGCAAGGAGCATACGTGATAACACCCACCGCGCCACGATTAATGCTAAAAAGCTCCATACAATTCCTTATAATAACTGAAAATTATTGTATGAAGCTCTCCGGGATACTTACAGTGCAAGCCCTGTGTGTCTTCTCGTGTTGAAAAGCAGTAGTGGAAAATTATATGGTCTAACAAGGTAAAAAACACTTTGTCAAAATTTTGTGTACTGAATAGACCCCCTTCATTTATGGCGGGCCTCATCGCTATATCCTTTCAGATTCATATTTGTATGCACATTTAAGAATAAAGATCCTACCCGCTAAGACAAAAGTGATCTTAAGACTAGAAATTTTGTGTTGTTCTTCTGTGTCGGGGGAGGGGGTAAGGGGGGAGATGGTCAATCGGTCGGGGAGTGGGGTAATTTTGGCAATATCTGAATTAGTCTTTATACTTTTACTGGCATTAATTTTTGTGCTGGCAAGATCTTTTATTCGTGCCAAACCGAAAAGCTCACATCTGAGGGGTATGAACATACGATTCTTTCTCCCAATTTTTCTGGCCAAAAAGGATGAGAATGCATCAGTTGTAGGGTGTGTGGTCGATATAACACCAAATTCTCTCGAGAATCAGTTAAAAGGAAAATTAAAAGGATCATGAGATCGCAACTAGGAGAAGGTTTACAAATACCTCCCTCCCTCCCTTTAAGTCAAGATGACTCGTTAGGGACTAATCATTATCTATCACGGGGAGGTTGGAGGATTTTTTTTGGGGGGGGGGGGCGGAGAGATCAGTCGTCGCTAACAGAGTATAAAGAGGGGACTAAAGAAAATAGACTGCCGATGAAGGGGAATTATTAAAATACTACGGAGCCTAAAGGGAGGGGGAGGGAGAGGGGGAGGAGAATCAGGTAAATCTTATGGTGACACAACCCAAATCACAGGTGGTAAATAATGATCGGTCACTTATGCATATTAATTCTCATAATAAAGTAAAACTCTCCAAAAAACTTGCATTCAAAGTTCCGTGAGGCGAATGGTTCATGCTCCCCGCTAAACTCTCCGTGTCGATAGAAGCTGTGTCGTAGTCTGAGGTTTCTAGACTTGTACTGGAATGTAGTCTGCCTGTCCTCGTTCTGGCATGACTCGGGTCAGTCTCCTCTAGGATCAGTTCGTTTCCGTCGGGGTCAGTCACAATCCACCGTCCATCTTCTTTTTGCAGAAGAGGCTGCTCTCCCAGATGAGGTAGTATTGTATCAATATCCTTTATTTTTAACTTTAATCGCACAGATTTCGACGGTTTTGGGCATATTTGCGGCAAATGTTTAAGCGAAAGCTGAACGTCAAAGCCGCTTTGAGAATAAAGGGTAAAGAAACAAAATCCAGGCGAACCACTGATGGCTTTCTTCGCAGTTAACACCTCGTAGAATGACCTCATCTGTATAAAGTTCCGCGTAAAAATATGAAAACGCAAGTGTTCGTTTCCAAAGTGCACCGGGCAAATGGACCAAAGTGGAAGCCCGGGAAATGTCTGGTAAAAGTCTTGGAGTGCAGTAACTCGTGGTCTCGCGTCGGCTGGTAACTCTACCCGATGGTGAAATTTCCAAGGAAGAAAATTTAATTTGTTCTGGACATAACTGGCTGATAAACGACCAAACGTTTCGTAAAGAAACAGAACAATGCTTATTGCTTGGCATTGTAAAATGCTGGGATCATCATTTTCATCTTTCCAAGAGTCCAATGCGGACTCACCATCGTTACTTTCATCAATTGAAATGAATTGAAATGTAGGGTCCATCCCCTCGAGGAACGGCGAAAAGAGCCTTTTAAGGGAGTTGGCCTCACCCCCTCTGACGTATATTTGTAGAGTGCAATTATAAGGGTCTGGAGCCGCTTGAAAATTCTCTTCCTCTAAAATGTTTTCGTCGAAGCCTTCGTCGTTCGAGGCAAACTCTTCTTCCATACTGAGCCAATCTTTTCTTTGTTATCGACGTTGTCTATTTCCCACACCAACTTGAAACATGCCTCATTTAAACATTCTCTCGACTTATCTGCAAACCGAAACAGAGAAATTGTATTAGATTAGGTCTGATTATTCAAACAAAGTTTAGCCGCTTTTCAACAAAACCCCGCCCTAAACAATCCTAAATTTAGCTGAACATTTTATCTGAACGTTAATATTTGTGAAGAGCGTTAAAAGGGCCGAATGGTACCTGTGGAAAGATATCTATTTCATTAAATCAACGCTTTTACAGAGAAAGCCTGAGGCCCGCTGATTGTGTAAAACCGCGGTTTGGGTTAGACCTTGTGTAAATAACCGGCCCATAGAGTTATGTGTATGTCCTTAGTGATGAAAAGAACACAAACTCTGATAAATGCCAGCTATAAAGTTACAAAAGTGAACCGAAAAAGTTCAGTTGAAATATTTTGACATGATGATCGTAATAACTGCTATGTATTAATGATGTCTTCCACACCAGTTGGTAGTTGCTGTCAGCGGTAGTTACCGTAACGGTGAAAAGTATTCGTATGCATACTGATACTGTTTATTCGTTTTCAGAGAACTACGAGAACCACGTGAACCAAGAGAACCAGAAGAACCAGAGAACTACGAGAACCGCGTGAACCAAGAGAACCAGAAGAACCAGAGAACTACGAGAACCGCGTGAACCAAGAGAACCAGAAGAACCAGAGAACTACGAGAATCGCGTGAACCGCGTGAACCAACAGAACCACGAGAACCAGAGAACTACACAATTACCGTGCCCAAGAGTTATATTATCTGAAGTCCGACAGTATAAGAACCACAAGAACCAGAGAACTACCGAGAACTACACAGTTACCGTGACTCAGAGTTGTATCTATTTGAAGTTTGATAGTATGCGACTCATGACGTCAGCTGTGGCTATTACACCGGGGATCACCCCATTCTGTGTAGATATATTAATCTATTAAAAACTTATTCACCATGGTTACCAGTCGCTGAGGAGGAAAGAAGCCATGTACCACTATCTCAGTCTGTCTGCAGTACAATGTATCTATGGGTAGTTTGACGTTTGTAATAGAAGATTAAAGCGATTAAGATTCTCTCCAGTTGCACGTTGGCTTGGTTTATTTTGGAATTATCACTGAACATGATTTAAATAATAGTACACATTGTTCCGGGCTCTATAACGAAGCTTTATAATATTATAATAATAATTTAATTCTTATATTGCTTTATCACTTTATAGAGCCCAGAAAAAAATGCTCTATATTGCTTTATGACATAGGTAGTTACGTGCGAGCTCTCTAACCTGATAAAGCATCCGCTTGGAAACTGAATGGACTGATCAGACGATACCTACTATGTACATTATGTCATAATTGGTAATTAACAGTTTTCTGAGTAATTATACAAAGCAGTACTTCGTCTCTTTTGACGCAAAGATTGAGGTTAGATTGAAATTACATCTAAGGTCCCATATGCAGTTATTTCACGACTAAAAAACACTCATCTAAGGTCTGAGAAACTTGAATGGCTTAAGTTAATCAATGGTGCTCTTCTCTAATATTTATTGTATGAACCCAGGAACTGTTAATTGCATTTTTCTTAATTCACACATTCAATTATAGGATTATTTGCATTTGGCGCAGAATTCTATTGTGATAACTTATGCCCTTTGTTTACCTTCAAGTGGTTCAATATTCACTTCCCTGAGTTTCGTTATGACTTCTTGAAACTCGTCTCTGATAAAGCACTATTTCAAAATACTAGAACAAAGTTTCTTTTAAGTATCTCTCTAAGTTAAATTTTGATCGAAATCTACGTGAGCTTTTTTGAGTGGTTACCCAAATCATTGGAACATTGGATGTAATACGCAATCACTCAGTGGTAAGAATCTTTTGCATATTATCAAACGTAAAACTCCTTAAACTCGTCCATGAGTGAAAGATTTACCATGAAGCTTAAAGGAATTTCCAGAAAACGCGAACGTCGCCAGTTACATGATGATTCAAGTGCGATGTTTGACAAAATCACTTACTTTGCATTTATGTAACGAGGAATTGGGAAAACAATAACCGCAACAGCCACGATTTTCAGCTCGCACTTGGAGGATCTTATCAGTTTTCAGGCGTAACCGTAACTTTGTTATAGGAACAACTAGTTCAGATATCCGGCGGAAAAAAAAATTAAACTCAAGTCAAATGTTTGGCAAAGACGGAGATATGTTCAGAGAGTACACAAATCGACTGCATTCAGTAACGACCATTGTGAATATAAGGGCACAAGAGCACTTCACTTACATTTACGAAGTGGTAAATACACTTCGGTAGATTCTTACAGCGTCTCAATAGTTATTACCTTTATTTATCAGTGCCGATTTATTAGGAAATGGCGTTAAAAAAGATTTCCCAAGGTAGCAAGTTGTATCACGCAATCCATACATAAAGTCTATTGAGGATAAATGTGCTCTCTTTCGTTTGTTTGATTTCAGATCAATTTGCGCCTCTGAGGCTTTTATATCTTTAGAAAAAGCAGGTAATATTATGATTCTTACAAAATTCTTAATGTCGATTTGGTTGGTATAGCATATAAAATATTAGTAATTCCAGAGAAGCATCTGCATAAAGTACAGACGCAGTAATTTATACAGTTTGATTTTAAATTGAAACTAGGTCTGCATTTCAGAATTCAAATTGAAAAAGCTAGAAAATCGTATTCAAAAACCATTCTTCCTCACAGCTGTCACCTCACAGCACGTGGGAACGCTGAAAAATACTGCGTTGAAAAGAATTTTAGTTTTGACACGAGGAGAAAAATAAATATTAAAAATGACAATGTTTTAGTGAGTTTTATGACCAGAACAGTTGACATGGCTACGAAAGAAATTGTATGTCTCAAAATCAAAGCCTCGATATTCTTGGTAAGGAAAGAAGGTAGAAGTAATCGGAAAAAAAACATAACAGAAGCAAGGTTTCCCGCTTGAAACCGCTATACACATTCTTCGAGAGTTGAGATCGATTTGCAAAATTTCTCGACTTAAAAGGATTTCAGTACGTGGCAAGTACATTCTGAAACAAATGACATACCGTGTCACCTAAGATAAACTTGTAAGTTTGAGTCCTGGATCTAAACACACCGGAGATTTCAGGAGCGTACAAATGATTTTAAAGGAAACATGACCATGTCTGAGTGACGGTGGCCGCTAGACTAATTTAGTTTCGCGCGGTCTATTTCGCCAATTTCCTCTCGACTCGTAGATCACAAAATAATCAACACAACAACTTACCACCGAGTTGAAATATCTCAAAAAAAATCCTCAGTTCTTCTGAATGCTGGCCAGGTTTTCGAAAGTGTTTCTTGTTTTTGACAGTACGCGGGTTGCGAAACAAAACGTTGCCAACTTTCGTACCGTCGGCTTTATGCATCAATTTTAAGAACGCCATTACCATAAATAGCCGATGAGAGATGTCTAGTGGTTGTCATATTGTCTCTTCTTTCGAAAACAAAACACGTCAAATACCTTTTAAAAGCTTTTCACGAACGAAGAGCCAATGGAAACACGTGAATATATTTTACTTCATATGGTAATGAAAACATTTTAAACAAAGAATTGTTTAGCGGAAGGCGCTTCTGCTGAATTCTAACACATGGGAATAAACAATACTGTACATTTTTGAAAACAAAGAAATTTTGTAAAAATTACGCAGGATTTTTTTTTCTTTTTTTCATCTTGAAAGCTCTTGATCGTTATCCAAAACCAATCAAACCGAAAACAACACGTTAACTAAAAATTTTAATTCCAAATTTTAAATATTGTCAATTCCGTCGTGAAGAAGACATTTCGTCCGGAAGCAACCGGATTGCATTAACCGCTTCAAGTTATCTTTCCAGAGTCACGATTTGAATCAAATTGTTCGTTTTTCTTTCAATTCTTTTTATCTCTTGGCGGAATTGGACGCTGAAGCGTCAGATGGCACCTTTGTAAGAAACATTGACTCATACTATCAAACAAAAGTATTCTTCGAGTTTATTTTGTTCGCCTCTCGAAGACAGGGAAAAAAATCACTAAATGAGTCTAGGAGACGCTAAAAGACTCAACAATTAAAGATGTTTTTGTATTAAGTACGAGTCCGGTAATATTCGAATTGAGGTAAACAAGCATTTTATGCGATGAAAAAAGCTGGAGAAATTAAAAGGGATAACTGAGTGACAAATGTAAAACTGTAGTTTCAAGTTTAGATCGTCTGTAAGGAAGACAAAATTTCAAGTAAACTCACCGAATGTTACGGCTTGTGCCAGAACTGGGTCCAAAACTGTTCGAGTAGTCAGTGGGTTGTAAAGAAAGGAAAGGAAATTGGCGTTCCCATGCAGAAGTACATACCCGGGAAATGTGTGACCACGCAATTGCGTCATCAAAAAATATATTGTACTACTTGTTGACGGCGGCAGTTGATGTTCAAGTGTTTGTTTCCTGTAAACAAAGACTGTAAAAAGGTTGACAAGGATGATTGAAGAATCTAAATTTGTAGAATTGACAACTTCTCTCATTAAAATTTGAGTCATAAAGAGGAAACTAAAGAACGATTGGTTCGAATCCCGTACAGGCCTGATTTTTTTCAGGTCTGATTTTCGCTATTGCATAAATAGCGCTATCTACTGCGAAAGATCGTGCGTCATACGTAAGGTAGTTTCTCACGAAGGGCTAACGCTCGAAACGTCAGCTTTTTAACTCTTTACGGTGGCCAATTTACAATTTCAGCTTAGTTGGTATTACCAGATTGATCGTTCATTAGATAGGTTGAGCTTTCGCGCCTTCAAGAACGTCAAGTAATTTTGAAAACAGAAGTTAACAGAAAATTAACCGTGACGCTGTTTAAAAGGCGTGTCGAGCACTCAAAATATTGGATAATAAATATCTGAACAACGCGATCAATTAACATACAAAATACCCAATGATTCAATTAGACAAATAAGTTTTAACAATTGTGCAATTACTTCGTATTTAGCTAAAGAAGTGTAGAAAAACGAATATATTGTGAAAAATAAAGACGCACATTCGCTTCATTCGGCGTAATTTTTTAAGCTCAGTGTTCTGACAAATAAGGGGTTTAATTTAACTAGAATATTGGAAATTGAAATAAGGACATCACAAAATTAATAATTATAATAATAATAATAATTTAATATTTATATTGCGCAAATTAACAGATGGATATGATCAAATGCGCATCACAACACTTTTCGGGGGACTTCGGAATTTGCCCGAACTGTGTCAGCAGTTAGCCTACTCACAACAGGAACTGTGGAGTTAGATTTTCCGCTTTGAAAGAGGAATAATATCGGAAGCAAACTTCGTGCCGAAATCAGTAATAAAATTGTCATTGGCTTGTAGAAAACGTAAGAGATCGAGAATTATCATCCTGATAAAGAAAGCAATCACCTAAGTTAACGTTCAAACTGTTTTATCGTAGAAATGAATGAAAAAGAATTTTCGACAAGTGTTCGATTACGTCTTATCTTCGTTCAATGAACATTTGAAAATTCGCTCGGATCGTAAGATTTCATTAGCGATTCCGCTACATTTTTCTTGAATGTTCACCCTACTACTGCGAGAATGATACCTATATCAAGGTCAGTCCAAAAAACAAATATACTGTACGTGCTTTCAGCTTATGCATAGATATGACTTGACATTTATTTTGAAAACGCCTGAAGTGTTCGCTTTCTTTGATCATTTTCCTAACCTTCTTGAGTGGCGTACTAAAGTTTTCTTGATATTTGTTACTCTGCTGCATTCCTCCTCCGCCATTTCCTTCCAGAAAAAAAAGTACTGGGCCGAGTTGTTCGAAGCACGAGTAGCTCTTATCCTGGATTAATTAATTGCCATGTCAACGAGGTTTTGTGTGCAGTTATCCCAGGATTGACGTCTATCGGGTTTCGAGCAACCGCCCGGCCCTTTTGTTTACTGATAACTCAGGTTGTGAGTAATATAAATCTATCTTTCAGAAGACAACGTAGAGAAAAGGAAATTTAAAAATTCCTAACAATTGTTGACATTTTTAGAATCAGCAAGCCTGGCACTATTAAGCTCACAAGAAATCTTACTTTAGCTATTTTTAGCAGTGACTGCTATTTAAACTGTTACTGCCTGTTACGATTGTTACATCTGTATTCTGTCCAGCGGCTGGAAAAGAAAGCTTTTCACGGAAATCAGGGTTAACGTTTTACTTCAGTATCACCTTGTTTTTGGTTTGACCGGTGCTAAACTTTGATCGGGTTTGAGGTTTTGAACAGATGGCGTTGAACCTCCTAGATATAAGTCTGAAAACTTTTGGTAGAAGATGTCAAAAGTATGCGCCATGTTAGTCCTACTGTGGAGTTTTGCAGAGGGCGCGGGCTAGGAAAACGTTTCTCAAATTCTCAGTTGTTTCTGTTAACTTCTCTTAACTGTTTTTGTCTCTCTAATCTCAGTGTGTGGTAATTCTGGAATGATGATTCATCGATACATAAATAATCAGTTAAAACAGTAGTATTGTCGTTCGAGACTGTTCCGACTTCATTGCATACCCAACTGACTTGGATTCACTTTAAGTTTGGATAGAAACACTGATCTTTTTTCAAAGAGGTGCCATATCAAAAACTGAGTATTTCAAAAGCTAGTGTATATGACAACAATTCACACCCCACCCCCCAACACTAGTTATGGCCTTAATTCATTTTCATACTTTTCAGCTAAGCTATGGAATACACTGCCTGACTATATTTGCATGAGTGCATTTAAAGACTTTAGAAAGATAATCCAAGGCCCAAGGCCGTATCTTTGTATAGTCGCTCCCGCTTATTTTCACTTTTCTGTTAATTTCTACTGATATGTTACATAATTATATTTCTAAATACTGTGTATTTTAGTATATTTTAGTATAGTTAGTATTTTAGACCTTGTACAGATATATGTATGAAAATATATATATTTTATGTTTTCTCGAAGATATTAGCTCCAACAAGCTACTCTAAAATTCGAGATGAAATAAAGTTTATGATGATGATGATGATGATGATGACTGGAAACTGGGATCACGATCTTGTTCGGTCAATCCGGCTGCCTGTTATTACTGTTTCACCTGTATTTTCTTCAGCAAATTCAATTCAAACGATTGAAAACCTTTTTTGTTTTTTCCGTGCTAGGGGAAGGGGGTGCTAAATAATAGAATGTAACTGGACAAGGTTGCGTGAGCTATCCAATATTATTTCACCTGTTTAAGTGAGCTTGAATTTAATTGAGCTATTCTTATACTTTGACCACATGTGTACAGAAACTTTGTATTCATATCAGTAATCAACCACGAAAAATGTCCAATGAAAGTACGGATTTTTCACAACAAATCGTGGCTTGTGGAAAGTGCCTCCTTTAATTATCGTGACGAATTGTGAGTTGTGATTTCGTAGCAGCTGAACCATTTGACACAAAGTAAGCTCATTAACCAACCAAAGGAAACCGTGCACTACAATGAATGGAAAAAATAGTTGGCACGCCTCCTCCCTCCCTTAGTAGGTGGTCGACAACGGCCTCCACCAAAATAATCAACAGAAATCTTGTAATTCATAGCTCATGAATATCATGAAAGTCTCCGATCCCGTTCTCCCAACAAATGATGTTGCCGGTCTGAAATTGGTGACCATATTGTCAATACCAGGTAACAATTAAATGGGGGAGATAGATAAAAGTTAAAAATTCAAGAAATGGTAGAGAGTGCCAACACTTTTGTCACTCATTGTAGATCAGACAAAACTGTTTCGCCAGTCAGTCGCTTTACAGTTCGCCAAGTGTTCCCACTCAAGACCACTTCTCAGACATTCATTTGATATTGATTAAATCCCAAGCGTTCACTACACTTATTCTCAACTCTTCTCCAGCTGCTCACAAGGTGCGTCAGGTTCAAGTGATAACTAAGAGGCAAGTAATGGACGTCCGCAGCTGCTAAGAAAGACCGATATAACTATCGATGTTGTCGATTGAGTAATGGGCTCTCGTGTTGATATAGCTATGTCAGTTTCGTAGCTTCGAGTTAAAACTTAATGACTTTTTGGCCAGCAAGATCAAATGAAGGTAGTCTTTACTGGAAACTAAAGCATTAACTAACTAAACATTAACCTATGTACACTCTTTTTTTTTTTTTTTTAATAAGAACGTCTAATTTTGGGGCTCGGGCTGAACGTTCTTTTTATAATTTTTATTTTTTGCGATTTGAGTCTGACAACGTTCTTAACATGTTCTTAAAGTTGTGTAGTAAAGTGTTTCAACAAATCAATTCGGACGTGACCAGACTAGGTTCGACTGAGCTCAGGCGTCCCAAGCGTGCTGTGTGTGACTTTTGGGTGTAAAGCTCATTAACGGCAATAACTAACATATTAAGTTCGAATTTCAAGCGTACATGTGGGCCGTTAAAAAAGGAAAAATTAGAAAAAAAA